TGAGTCCTGCAGTGCCACAGGTGAGTCCTGCAGTGGCACAGGTGCCAGGTGAGTCCTGCAGTGCCACAGGTGAGTCCTGCAGTGGCACAGGTGCCAGGTGAGTCCTGCAGTGCCACAGGTGAGTCCTGCAGTGCCACAGGTGAGTCCTGCAGTGGCACAGGTGCCAGGTGAGTCCTGCAGTGCCCTCTCAGGCTGCAGTGGCAGCAGCCACAGGTGCTCTGGCCGATAGATCCGTTTCCCAGCTGGGTTTGCTGGCCGGGAGCAGCCCCCACACAGAGCGGTTTGATCCTGAGCCAGCTCAGGAGCAGGGAACAGGGGAGGTTTCCCAGGCCTTGGGAGGGTGTTGTGTGCCAGGTGAGCCCCGTGGTGCTGAATGCTCTGACAGAACAGATCCATCTCCCCTGCCAGGGAATCAGTCAGCAATGGCAGCACAATCTCCATCATCTCCAGATTGTTCCCTGGCTGAGTTTGCTCTGGTGACAGGGACATTGCCACGGAGCTGAGTACAGGGGCTGAGTACAGGCTGAGTACAGGCTGAGTACAGGCTGAGTACAGGCCAAGTACAGGGGCTGAGTACAGGAGCTGAGTACAGGCTGAGTACAGGCTGAGTACAGGGGCTGAGTACAGGCTGAGTACAGGGGCTGAGTACAGGCTGAGTACAGGCCAAGTACAGGGGCTGTGCACAGGAGCTGTGTACAGGCTGAGTACAGGGGCTGAGTACAGGGGCTGAGTACAGGCTGAGTACAGGCAGTGCCTCCATGTGGGAATGACCCAGAGCAGAGGGGAACTACAGAGATTATGGATTTTCCCCTAATCCACGGTGTGTAAGTGACAAGGCAAAGAATGTTTGCTGTGATCAGCTTTATCCCAAATATTTTGCAGTGCTGGAACAGCCTCGTGTGGAGCTCCTGGCTGTGCTGCTGGAAGGGGTTTTGGGGCTGGTCCCTTCCTCTGGCATCACCCCAGAAGGGTCAGAAATTCCCATTTATTGTCCCTGTCACAGCCTGGCTGGAAATGGGGAATAGCAAAGCAGCGTTTGTATTTCAGCACCGGGACCCAGCTGGGTGTGTCCTGTGGCACAGGGGACGTGTTGGGGATACCTGAGGGGTCCTGCTGCCAGACAGCTCCGTGCCCCTCAGTGTCCCCTCAGTGTCCCCTCAGTGTCCCCTCAGTGTCCCCAGTGTCCCCTCAGTGTCCCCTCAGTGTCCCCTCAGTGTTCCCTCAGTGTCCCCAGTGTCCCCTCAGTGTCCCCTCAGTGTCCTCTGAGTGTCCCCTCAGTGTCCCCTCAGTGTCCCCTCAGTGTCCCCGCAGAGCCCAGAGCCAGCGCTGCCCGAGCTGGGCTCGTCCTGTGGCAGCTGCCCAGCCCCAGGGCTGTAAAACCCGGCACGTTTCGGTGTTCACTGCCCATCCCCGGGGCTGCCTCTGGCCTGCTGAGCCCTCACCGCCCTCCGGGGGCTGGGGTCACACATCCCACACTGCCCAGGTGAGCTGGGCATCACCTGAGGGATGTGAGGGTCACACATCCCACACTGCCCAGGTGAGCTGGGCATCACCTGAGGGATGTGAGGGTCACACATCCCACACTGCCCAGGTGAGCTGAGCATCACCTGAGCACATCACACCCTCCCCCTGTGCCTTTACTTGCCAGCAGAGGCAGACTGGGCTCTGGCTCCCCTCCCCCAGATGTGCTTGTCCAGCTGCTGCAGCTGGAATTCAGTGGATCTGTAA